CAGCGCATCATGGAATATTTCGTCGATTTCACGAATACGAAGAGTAGACTACCTACCTGGACAATTTACCTGGAGACAATGATTTCCAGAGGAAATTTATGTCGAACAAGAAGGAAATTGCGAATCTGCGGAAAAATTACTGCGTTTTCTGTGGGAACTTGATCAAGGAGGAATAACATTTTGTATTGTACGGGGTCGTGTGATGGGGACTGCCTTACCAGTTGACACACTCATGTCCAAATGTCGTTGTATGAAAAGTTTGATCAACGCAAAAAAGTCGCTGACATACACACGTTGATTTCAGCCAGTTCGTAGAAGTTTTTTCAGCTACGAATTTGAAAGATCAAAAAGGGAAAGAGAATCAAACTTCTAGTCGGTCGATCATGAAATTCGATATCAAATGAATATATATATATGTGTGACTAGTTTCGGCACCATGGCCATCATCACACACAACAGTGAGGAAGAAGAACCTGGAAATTACAAAGATCTCAAATCTGAGACGATATGTTGAGAATGAAGTACATTCCTTTTTTTTTTCGAATAATGAGTACATAACTGAGACATTCTCAAATGACTGAAAAGCCAAAAGAACTCAACTAGCAGTAAGTTCAACTACGCTTATTGAATTAATAAAAATCTACCGAAGAGCTCCCTCTTCATTCGAGGCAAGCCATCAAAAGGAAAGACACAGAGATGCATCATAATTATGTTGATTTGACTTTGACATTTTACATGACAGTTTCGACAATTTTGAAGTCAGATTGGAAACCAAATATAAAAAACGAGTAGAATCAAAGTGAATAGTATTGAAGTTGAAACTAGTTAATTTGAAGTTATAAAATGCAAAGAATATTTCGATTTGTAAAACATTAGGATGGCAAAACTGTCCGTGATGAGCCTATAACTTTCCCAGAAAGAAATTTAGGTTGGGATTTTCAACTCTCTCTTGGACACTACATCAATTTCTGTTGATGAACGATTAATTCAGTTGGATGATTACTCGAAATCTTGGTATTATTTGTACAATTTGAAATAGATTACGGAAATACCCGACCTTGTCAAACTCTGTGGTGATCTCCCAATTCAAATTAACGGTAGTCTCCAAATCAGATAAAGATGATGTTGTGTGATGAACTCCTAAGCCTGAAATATGTTTTGTCTAATCAGAGTGTGGTTATAAGCCTGCTTATGTTTTGAATTTCATGGAAGAATGCTGTTTCCATATTCGGAGTGCAGCACCCAAACATACTCTGAAACTGTTGGATTCTGTCCAAAAAAGGGCAATTCGTCTCGTGGGTGATGCCTCGCTCACAAACTCACTCACTTTTCTGGAACACCGTAGAAAAGTTGGCGATCTGGCTCTACTTCATGAATATTTTTATGGACGATGCTCTTCTGAAATATCAAAACAATTGTTCCTTCCTTGGCAGTCTCCGCGAGATTAATCCGTCGAGTTGAGGTATATCGCACCCCTTAT